TGACAGGGTTGGATTGTTTCAGTTTCTGCCTGTAAAGTATTCAAAGTAACTGCAATTCACTCCAAAAGCCTTTTCAGTGTTACGTGGGAGGGTGCTGTCAGACTTCCAACCTCGGTATTACAACAACAACAAAAAAACTCCTGGCCTTTCTGTCTGTGAGCTGTCTGCAGTTTAACCAGCAACTCAAACTGAAACAATATTTAAAAGACTGACAAAAACTCAGAAAAAAAACTACAAATTAGCCATATTTTGTTTCTTTATGTCTTGTGAATCCTCTCACAACCACTCAAATTCATCTTGCAACCCCATGCACGGCCCAGTTATGAACCTGTGCTATTTTGGCAACTGCACATGTACTTTGAACTGTCTGTTGTCCCTCTTCAGCAAACCTGCCTTTGCACACTTTAGAAACATTTGAACTTTGGCTAACTCCGAGTTAGTATTACAGCTGCAGAGCAGGAAAAAAAAGTTGTTCACAGAGAAAAAACCACAAAGATTTTAGAGCGAGAATCTGAAATGTTGTTGAAATTATTACGTAACTGCAGTGTGCTGTAAAATAAAAGCAGCCAGGGTGTACATGATGAGGTTACTTCAGCAGATTAATGGGGTCAGTCTTCTGCACCCTTTCCAGGTCTTCTATCATACCAAAATGACTTTGTTTTATACAGAAATGCCCAATAAAGTGAACAGCTGCTCGAGGCTACTGTAAGATTAAATTGATCTTGACAGTCTTTACAGCCAATGTGGTTTCAAACTTCAACAACATCACACTGTATGATGATGTATCACATACTTTTCTATTTATAGTTTTATTAAAGTGTTTTGATACTTTAATTTATTGCATATTATGAGCTCAGTTTGAGTAAATGTATGTGTTATTGTTATAAAGGTGTCCTGAAAAGTCATCTCTCATAATCCATCTATACTCGAGCCCCACATAAAGCTCCTCTATCTCAGCCATTTATTAGAGATCCTCAGATAAATGAACTCTTCCTGCTTCATTTAGAGCTCGGGCACCTCAGCTCTGCTCATTGATTAGAGATGTGCTCAATAATTCAAAAAATAGCATTGGGAAAGAAGATGCTATTCATCATCAGTCAAGTCATTTGGGTGTTAGGCAATGACCCTTGCAGGCGCACCTGCTAAATCATTCGATGACATAATGAATGGGGTCATTTGTAACTGTATCATGCTGTGATTACCTATTCTTACAGAGGAGCCTTTTTGACCTCAATTCTGATTTAGTGAGTTTTGGTCTTGATAGTCATGAGCCTGAAAGTACACTGAGGAGAGTTTTAGAAGTTTTAGGAAAAAGTTTTAAGGACAAGTTTTTAGATGTGTGCTCAGAGCTGGAATGACAGAACCAACAACGCTAAACAAAAGATGGATTTAGCCCAGAAGTACCTTAAACCTGACCAATAACCAACAAGAGGGGGGGGGATCGTCTAGTTTTATAGCAGTCTATAAGAAAATGACCCAAGGCTAACTTTCTCTTTGACCACAGCCAACACTTTCCTGATTAGGTTTATGGACTCGTTATGAATTCAATATGATCTTCATTTTGTACATTTATGGTCACATCAGTGTCCACAAGAACAATACACAAGGGTATACTTTGGAGTAGGCCAGCCTTGTGATCGAGTAGAACTATGATCAAACAGAGTATCTCAGTTCCACAGTCCACGCTTACATGACGGTGGCTGTGTCAGCCGTTTCCATGCAGTCTACAGCCTCAGCTTGACTCGAGGCTACAGACTTGGCTCCACGAATGTGGCTTGTGAGCTGATGAATTATGTGGAAATTGACTGTTTCATATGTGCATCTCTCATATGACATCTCTCAATGACTCTTTGAAATGATCCCAGAAAAACACAGTTTAAGCAACACTTTTTATTGGAGAAAGAATAGTAGGTTTTTGGTAAGTAAAGAAAATGAAAGGTACACATAAAGACAGCAACTATTTTTTTTAAAGGGGGTCAATCCACAGAAAACACAATGGCTAAAGGTTGAAAATTACTATAGCACTGGAAACACTGCACAGTCAAAAGACAGATCTTGTTTGTACTGTAAGTGTAATTAATATCTTAAAGTGTGATTCAGGACTTCATTACAAGCTGATACAACTCAAAGGAGCTTGCAAAGAAAAGCGTCTGGACTTCTTTAAGTTACTTGAAGACGTTTCACCTCTCATCCGAGAGGCTTCTTCAGTTCTAAGGTCAAATGGTGGAGAGTCCCAGATATAACCCTAGTGGGAGTGTCCCCCCACAGAGGGACAAAAGGACCCCCTGATGATCCT